AAAATAACTCAAACGAAAAGAAAACAGTAAATGTAAAGTCAAAGTCTAAAAACGAAGAGAAAAAAAAAACGAAAAAATTAAAACTCGAAGCAATAAAATGGAAAAAAACAACAATATAGAAAACGAAACAAAATTCACCAAAAAGAAAAGAAAAAAAGGAAAGAAACAGGAAAAAAGAAAAAACAAGAAACGAAATCCACAACTCAAAAGAACAAAGGAAGAAGTAAAACGAAGATAAAACGAAAAAAGGAAACGAAATCTACAATGACAAAGAAAAGAATACAATATGAAAACCAAAAAAAGAAAAAGAAAAGAGAGAGAGGAAAAAAAGGACACGAAACACACAATTCACACCAAAAGAGAATAAAAAGAAAAGAAAAAGAAATATGAGATAAAGCAAATAAAAGAAAACGAACTCCATAACTCAAATTAAATCACGAAAAAATAAAAAATAAAAATAAGATAAAAAAGAAATGAAAGAAAACGAACTCTACAGAGAGAGAGAGAGAGAGAGGAGAGAGAGAGAGAAGAAGAGAGAGAGAGAGAGAGAGAGAGAGAGAGAGAGAGAGAGAGAGAGAGAGAGAGAGAGAGAGAGAGAGAGAGAGAGAGAGAGGAGAGAAGAGAGAAGAGAGAGAGAGAGAGAGAGAGAAGAGAGAGAGAGAGAGAGAGAGAGAGAGAAGAGAGAGAGAGAGAGAGAGAGAGAGAGAGAGAGAGAAGGAGAGAGAGAGAGAGAGAGAGAAGAGAGAGATGAGAGAGAGAGAGAAAAAGGACAGAGAGAGAAAGAAAGAGAGAGAGATGAACAGAGAGAGACAAAGAAGAGATGAACAAGGAGAGAGACAGAGACAAGAGAGATGAACAAGAGAAGAGAAGAGATGAACAGAGAGAGAGAGAGGAGAAGAGATGAGGAGAGACAGAGAGAGAGAGAGAGATGAACAAGACAAAAAAAAAAAAAAAAAAAAAAAAAAAAAAAAAGCAGACAAAACGACCCCAAAACCTACGCTATTGGCAGCCATCAGCCTCTTCCTCGTCCCGCCGTTGAACATGGCCTTGACGTCCTCCCACGCGTGTTGCACTTCAATCGGCGGTTCTCCCGACAGCCGAATGTGCCGACGCCACGAGTTGAAGTTGGCGGCGTCGGGTTGCACGTATTTGCTGTCGGAGAGGCGGTGGGAGTGGAATACGAACTTGTTGGGGCTGAAGAACATGGCACAGTAGAGGCACTTGATGCATTTGGCGCGAGAGGATTGTTATCTGTGGGGGGAAAAAAAGGGGGGGGGGGTTGGATTGTTTTCTGTTGGTAATTGTTTATGTTTTTAACTTTTTATTGTTTGATATCATTTCTATTTTTATTATATTATTTATCATTGTTATTATTTTTTATTATTTGGTATCATTGTCATTATTTATTCTTTATTATTTGATATGTTATTATTTTTCATTATCATTTGATATCATTGTTATTATTTTTTTGTTATTTGATATCATTGTTATTATTTTTTTTTCTTTTATCATTTGATATTATTATACTATTTTTTTTTTTTATCTGATATCATTTTTATATCTTTTTTATTATTTGATATCAGTGTTATTATGTTTTTTGTTATTTGTTATCATTGTTATTTTTCTATTTGTTATCATTAAGTGCGTGGGTTGGGTTATGTGTGTTTTGTATTATCTTTTGCTTGTGTGTTTGTGTGTTTTTTACTTGTTTTTTTTCTATGTGATCTATTCTGTTATTGCGGTTGTTTTATTTGTCTCTGATCTTGCCTTTGTCCGTCAGTGTCTCTTCTTAGTTCAGTCAGTCAGTCAGTCAGTCAGTCAGTCAGTCTGTCCCTCCTCGTCCTACCTCCCCCCCCTCCCTTCCTCCCACCCTCCCCCCTCTCTCCCCCATTTCCCCCTTACTGTACCTGAAGGAACGAAGGAACCCGCCGCCTCACCTCTCTCCTCCCTCCTTCCCTCCCTCCCTTTCCCACCCCCTTCCCTCCCTCTCCACCTTTCCCCACCCTCCCTCCCTCCCCCTCCTCCCCCCTCACCCTCCCTTCCCTTCCCTCCCTCTTCTCCCCACTGTACCTGGAGGACGACAGGACCCTCTTCCTCACCCTTCCTACCCCTCCCCACCCCCACCTTTCCCCCCTCCTCCACTTCCCTCCCCCCTTCCCTCCCCAATACCTGGAGGAACGAAGAGCCCCCCCCCTCCCCCCCCCCACCTCCTTCCTTCCCTCCTCCTCCCCCTCCCTCCCTCCCACCCTCCCTCCTTCTCCCAGCCTTCCTTCCTCCCATCCCTCCCCTCCACTGTACCTGGAAGGAACGAAGGAAACCCGGTACTCTCCCTCCCTCCTTCCCTATCTCCCTCCTCCCTTCCCTCCTTTCCTCCCTTCCCTCCCTTTCCCTCCCCCACTGTACCCTGGAGGGAACGAAGGAGCCCCGGCAACCCCACGCGCACTGGTGCATCACGTCGAAGGCAAAATTCTCGGGCAGTTTCGGCGGCGAGTTGTCTCCC